TTCAGATAAAGAGATATGTTTCTTGAGGTGCGGGGGTAGGCGCAGCAGGCATGGTGTTAGTTGATAATTTGTATCTTAAAATACGTCATTTTTTCACTCTTTGTGCTCCATTGTATATTAACGGTCTTCTCGTCAATAAAATTTCAGTTGGAAGTCAGTGCTTGTCTCGTTCCCTTTCTTGTCTTTTGTGCATTTTTCGCGCTGCTAAAACCCAAGATAATGTAAAACTTTATTTTCCACAGATCAATGTTTAGTGGCTATTTCATGGGGTCCTAAAAATTTCGCAAGATTTTATCAAATCGACAATTACGGAATCTAAACGTACAGCTCTTGCAAGAAGAGTGTTTTGTTAAAATAGTCAAAGAATTGCTCTTTGTGGTAACGCAATATCGACAGCTGCCAATTTCTGCGCGATGAGAAATGTTTAAAGAGAATGTCGAGAATGAAGTGATTAGCATCTCATGTGAGCTAGCACAAAAGAAAAAAAGATGACAAACGTAATATTTACAATTTACTTATTTGCTTCAGGCTTTTAAAAGCCAAGAGCCGGGGCTGTACGGGGATGAAATAAATATAGTTTGAGCACAAATACAGAAATGTGAGACAGAAGCATACAGAGGGGCAATGATTCGTTCTTGTGCTATGCATTTCACTGAAGATAAACCAGCAGAAATAGCTCTTGGGATACAAAAGCGATACGCACTTTCTAAGCAGATATTACAAATTGAGTCAAGTGGCTCCACAATCACAGACACACAGCAAATAACAGCTGCTTTTGAGGATCATTAGAAAAGCCTCTTCACCATGACTGAGCTTACAGATGGCTATGAAGAAAAAGTTGAGCGATTCATTGCTTTAATGGCATGTTTACAGGAAGATGATCGCCTCACCATTGATGGACCGATAACTACGGAGGAAATCAAGATTGTAATCAGACCTTTGCAGAGAAACAAAACTCCAAGCCCAGATGACCTTAGCGCGGAATTTCGCATGACGTTCAAGAACTTCTCGTTCCCTTTTTTGAGGCACTTTTTAAAGAAGCCTATGAACTTGGGGAACTTCCTCCTTCCTTTTATCAGGCCCACATTATTTTGATACCGAAAAGCACTGATAATCAAGAATTAAAAAGGGTAATTAGATATAGGCCTATATCTTTACGTAGCGTTGACTATAAGATATTTGCAAAAATCCTCACGAACAGATTCCAAACAATAGTTACTCATGGTGTACGCGCCCATCAAACATGCGGAATAAAAGGCCGTTCTATACAGACCAATATCCATGTAGCGCGATCAGTCCTTGAATGCATTGACGATAGCATGAGAATCAGGTAGCACTTTTTCAGGTTGGCCTTTCGAATGCTTTTGATAAGGTACGACATGATTTTTTGTTTTGACTGCTGAGACATCTCCAGTTAAGGGATGTATTGTATAATGGCATATCACTATGTTATAAAAACGGCACACCGATATAATTGTGAATCGCACGCTTTCAGGTTTAATAGAGGTAAGTTCATCAGTGCGTCTCGGTTGTCTTTCGCCTTTACTTTGTGCAGTATACTAAGAACCACCTTGTCTAAGTGTACTACTTAATTCTGGTATTTGACGATATAGATACGAAGACGATAGATATGATGACATTGCCTTCTTCTGCGTGGATAAAAGGGGTGTTCAGGAAGCAGTAAACACCACTGTGCGTTTCTGTGAAATTTACGGAGCTAATATAAGTTTTGACAAAACCAGGGCTAGGCGGTTTTCGCAAATATACACTGAAACGGAGCTCTAGTACGTGATAAGTGGCCCTCATTGGACGTCCGCCATAACCACTATCCGTCGAAAGGCAAGAACGTTATCTTTCAGTTTTTTTCTTCGAGAGCCAAAGCTTGCAACATCAAACTTTGTCTACATTCTGCAGGTATTGCATTGCTCTCGCGTAGATATTCAGGCATTGCATAGGATATTTGCCTGCTTCATTTGGAATTTTTAATGGGAAGCCACGTAAAAAGACAACCTTTTTCTTCCGCTTGAGAAAGGGTGGCTGGGTCTTGTGCATTTGTTTGTACGACAACTGGTGCGATTTTTTTACCTGAAGGATGTGTGTCACCTGTTTCTTCTGGCTGTTATCCATAACCGCCTTGCTTGGCATCTCCCTTTTCTTTTTGCCACGAAAGAGTTGCTGAAAACTCGCAATTGTGGGGTTTCTTGAAAGCCAGATTCACTTTAGAATATCTCTACAGTGAAGACAGAACGACACTTACTGCTGCACTCGTCAGCACCCTTTCCCCTTAACCTGTTTACCGACAGATATATGTATCTCGACCTGGTCATGATGTGTTATACCGTGCGCATAAAATGTGTTTACCGCCAGCTGCGAAAACATTTTTTTTAACTACACACCTCAACATTACCAGTAAAGACGTTGCTTCATGAAAAAGGCATATACGTGCCCTGGTCTCTAAATTGCAAACTGTGCAACGAGCCTACAAAAATCGAGCATTGTTATTGCTGTGATGCGTGTCATTTCTGGGACATCCTTAAGAGAACCATCAAAAAAATTTCCTGTTACAGCTCATGGTGTTAGGCTGTTAACGTTTGAAAAGACCATTAACAATAATGGACCATATGATTTAATAATGTTATTGGGCGTTTTTTTTCATTATTGAGGAGCCGCTTGATTGACAGACATGCTGAGCCACCTAGTTCGACAAAGGCTGTTTTCCGAGGAGCAGCAGCCGATGTGCGCAATGTTGTAGGAACTTTCTACCCTGTTCCAGAGTGGCTTGGACTTCTGGACATGTGTGTTTGTTCACCAGACTTTTGAAGGTTCGTTGGACTGTGTGCATAATTTTGCAATGTTTAATTGTATACCTATATCTCACAACCTTTGACTGCACTGTTTTCATGTATCAAAAAAGCACCGGTGTAGCTCAGTGGTAGAATACTGGGCTGGCACTCAGCGCACCCGGGCTCGAGCACCACTGTCTCATTGGTACTAGTTTTTTTTTTTTTTTGCTAAATTTGCGCAATGTAGCTGCGGACACCGGCGGCGGCGGCGGACAACTACAGCGCTGCGCGAGACCCGATCTCATAACAACTTTCACTGTAAAAGGCTGTTAACCTAGTTCCGAGGCAAGCTGCTACCAATTCTGGTCGTGGTAACATCAGATTTTTTTTCCATGCCGAAGCCCACCCGTCGACCTCTTATTTATTGGAATGGGAATACACTGCTCTAATTCTAATGATGATTGCCACTTCTCATTTACACATAATTTGCAACACCGTTTGCGAAGTCTGTCAGGCGCTGACGTCCGATGAGGTATTTCCGACGATGTTGGCCTCCCGAACGCTGACGTCCGGCCAAGCCAACGCATCCTCTGCGCTCCAGCTTCTGGCTTCCTCTGCTCGGCGAACGTGGCCTGTTCATTTATTTGCGTGCACCACAAGGGCACTTGCAACGAGGAGATGCTCAAGATGGGTGCACCTCGTATGCCACTGCACGTGATTGCATGTTTTCGCTGCCACTTCGTCGTTTTCTCAGTGGCGTCAGGGCACCTCATCACACCTTGCTATCACTTTCCTTGCTGATGCAGGCAAGATTTGCTCGTAGAACTCACCTGATGATGTTATACTTCTGGACATTCTCACTGGTTTCGTCGCATAACGTCAAGTTAGGGCTATTGACAGACAGGCGTACATATGCATTGTATAAACAGTGATTATGTCTTCTGCAAATAAAGCATGCAGATTATCAGACGACACAGAAGCAGCTTTATATATCCCAATAAGGCGGCAAAATGTGTTTCAAACCGCGAAAATATGTTTCATTCCAATCGTATTATGTGACCTTTTCACTCAAAAACTGTAGGAAGTCTCACACAGTACAATCAGATTTCGCGCGCGGCCCCACCAGTAAATCGTGGCACTCTCCTGGTGGCGTCATCGCATGAGTGACTACCATTGGCCGGTTGGTTTCCTGTGAAGACACGCTGCCCCGTTCGAGTACACCGTACTTCTAAACTAATCTGGACACAAAAATGCCAGCATGGCTGTACCCGTTAATGCATGTTCGTGCTGCCCCTGATTTATCACGCCCGTGTGCTCAGATTTTGGTGTACGTTAAAGAACCCCAGGTGGTCGAAATTTCCGGAGCCCTCCACTACGGCGTCTCTCATAATCATATGGTGGTTTTGGGATGTTGAACTCCATTATCAGCCAATCAATCAATCAATAAATCAATCAATCTTAATTTATCACATCGTCGTCGTGCGCAATGTGGCCCTTAAGGTAAATACCGACAATAATATTTGCCTATATTTGCGTCCTGAAGCTCCGGCGTCTGTGTATTCGTTATTATTTTGCACTGCTTTGAAGATACATTCTCATATCCTCGCGAACAAGGGTCAAGTATGGCTAAAAAGCAGTTTATACCGGATACATTACCGGATACTTTGTCGCCAGCGTGAGAAGACACAAAGCGATAGCCGATTTCGCAATTTACTAATCGTTGTCAGAATAGTTGGGCAAGCGTGAGTTCGGGTGGATTAAGCTATCGCGTCTGCGTAAGTGCCGCCATGTTGATTTGTTAGTGCAGTACCTAGAGATTACTGATACAACATTTGATTTGATTGATTTGTGGGGTTTAACGTCCCAAAACCACTATATGATTATGAGAGACGCCGTAGTGGAGGGCTCCGGAAAGATACAACATTTAAGGGCACACGACGTAATTGTGGAGTAGAGTAAGCACATATTCTAATTTAGGTGCGAAACAAATCCAAATAAACCTTGCGTGCTTTTGGGTGATTACATACAGTTTTGCTGTGCAAGTATCTGACAATTCCTAACACGGTGCTGCAGCACCCACGACAAATGTGCTCACCTCAACCCTCGATCACGGGGTCAAACATGGCCACGTCCGTGCACCGCTAATGAAAAACGTACATGACATTCCTATTTATTGCTATCGCATTCATTGTTTCGCTCTTGCGGCGAACCTGACTTTCATTGCGCGGCCGTGCCGGCCCGTTTAAGTACGTGCACTCGTATATGCCTGGTCAGCGTAATGGGTGCTGCGACATTCGTGTTCTGTGCACACAGGGACGTACCGGCTGCTGGTTTGACCCTGTTGAAAGCTGCGCGGCGCTGCTTCGGGGCGGCCACTATTGGGTTGGACGAGAGCTTGGGTATACCGCTGGTGCCCCACGAGTTACGCCGCCTGCGCTCCGTCTGTGGGCTGCCGCCGATGTCGTTCAGGCTGCGAGGATTCAATTACGTTACTCAATTGTGAAGGTCACCAGTTATATAGAAGGTGAAATAGCTCACGCCACAGTTCTCAAATGACCTCGGCTACACCTTTCCATCTTGCCCCGAAAGCTGCGCACGTATACAGAGGACATTGCTTTCAGATGTGTATCCACCCAGTGCATGGTGTTCCGGATGTGCACCCCTCCCCAGTAAGAGCCTATTCCAGAGTTCATTTCGGTGTCAGAAGCATTGTTTTGCGTTATGGCCGCGCTTCTCGCGGTGCTCTACAATAGCATCCATGCTCCCACCTCTGCGGGATACGTGGCGTCCTGGCACTGCCATTGTTCACAGCACTGTTACACCCGCCCCACGTGATGTGGCGGAGGGTGGCTAGTTCACGCCATCCAGCGGCTTGTGGAGGCCCTGGCAAAGCAGAGGAGAAAGGAAGCCGACGCCCCGGGCGACGGGAGCGGAGGAGCCCGAGTATCCAACGCCTAGCCGGAACACAACGTCCTCAAGATCTAGGCCCTGGGACTATAGGACTCTATTGGCCATAGTCTTCAGATAGGGAATACCCGCGCCCGGCGTGGCCGGTGACATCCCGCACGCCGGATGTGTAAATAAATGTTGTTTCTCTCTCTTTCTATCTCTCTACAAGAGCACCGCGTTGCGTACCTCACACTGTTTCTGCGTTGGTGGATACTATGGTGAAAGGCCATGCTTTCACGCACACTACTTGCTTTCACCGATTGAAGACGGAGTTCGTCAACACAGAAAAAAAATATAAACGCAATGAAGCGCTCTTGTAGAACACTGCGAGAAATGGGACAAGAGAAGCGATTTACACGGCACTTCTGGGATCTATCGCTGAAACGAACCCGGGAACTCGGCCCTTACCAAAGCAGCGGCCCATTCAGAACACTCCTGAGAACGTTAACCGCTCGTTGGGAGCAATGACCTCTGTCAGGCCCGTGGGCAGGGGGCCCCTCACTCCCATATCCTTGAAATGTTGATGAAGCCGAGTGTTCTACCAAGACCCCCGCCGTGTACGCGCCAAAATTTTCTTTTCAGCGTGCTCGGGTGTAGAAGTTATTCGAACGGTTTCTCACACCCGCGTGCGACAGCAGCCATTCATGCGTCACAGCTTTGTTGGCCCTCGTAACTAGCTTTCTCAGACGTCGCTGTAGAGCTCAGCGATGTGAAACCAAGCGAAAGTGGTCGACATAAGTAATGACATACTAAATTATATACCGATAATATACCAGCTTTCGAGCGCGCGTTGTGGCTCATGGAGCAATAGAGAACGTTTGAAACTGGCAACCCACAGATTTGACTTCTCGACCCCTTTAACGTCGAGAAGTTTTGAAACCTGCTGCGTTTAAATGACCATAGATATCAATTATGCCAACCTTGCTGTCCTCTAAATTTACACTGTGTCTTCACCGAAAACGCAACTTAGAAAACTTCCCACTAATATTGTTAATATTACGTTATTATATGTTAATATATGTTATTACTATTACTGCGGTTTTCATACGTTTTTCTAGGCGCTGCTTCTTTTCGTTGCGATGTTTTTCGTTGTTATAAAGATTCCATCTGAGCGCTTGATACTTGAGCGCTGCTGAGTAGTATGCTCTATGCCAAGGGCTGGAAACATGCGGACCGCGTTGCCCCCGGCACTTCCTACAAGGCCGACATGGCACTTTTGATGGGATGACATACGCTTGATTGCAACTTCGTGACATGTGTGCTGAAAATGTACATGGTTTCTAACCCAGCTTTACAAATTACTGTCCATTGCCTGCAGTGACCCCCGCCCTCGCTAACATTACATGCGGCTTCCGACTGTGTCGGCTCTTTCGTGTAACGTGGCTTCAAAAGGTTGCCGGCCTATGCTGGTCTATGCGACAACCGTTTTTGCAAGTGCAAACATTTAGTTTTCTGACAAAGCACCGAGATGGTGGTTGATCAGAAGCCGTATTCTGAAACGATTGCAAAAGGCGGCAATCGCCGAACTCTTACATTTGGTGTGCACTGACCTAGCCCTAATAATAATAATAATAATAATAATAATAATAATAATAATAATAATAATAATAATAATAATAATAATAATAATAATAATAATAATAATAATAATAATAATAATAATAATAATAATAATAATAATAATAATAATAATAATAATAATAAATATGGGGTTTTACGTTCTAAAACCACAATATGTTTACACACACACACACACACACACACGCACACACACACACACACACACACACACACACACACACACACACACACACACACACACACACACACACACACACACAGGCGCGCACGCGTTGAAAAGCACTTTCAAGAATACTTGTTATAATATTTAAAATAGCCACAGCCAATCCAGGTCACTGCATAGAACCGAATACACTACTCTCAGGCCCTGTGTGCTCAGATAGCACGCTCACATCGTTGTTGTGAGGCGTTCGTAACACCAATGGCTGCTGCAACAATGACGTGACGGGCAAGTGTTGTTTGAGTTATTGAATGCATCAGACTCTATACGTCACGAAAGGTGCTACGACCGCCTTTCCCAATTGTTTCAGAATATGCGCTGAAGAGAGGCAACGTTAACTTCCACGAAAAATCCGCATGTATGTTCTTTATTCAACCCAAGCAAGCTCAATGCATACTCTAGCTGCACCGATGCGATGCTGGGACGTTACTATACAGATCGCCAAATTACAAACAGCCACTTATTCCATTCGTGCTACGCAGAAGCACCTGTTGTCTACCCATGCCAGATCACAACGTCTAATGTGTTACAGCCGTGTGAGGGTGAAAATTTATTGAAAACTTGTTTTTCTGTTGTTGTTACAGCCACAGTTCCTGATGATCACAGGCCGAGGCGACGTTCGGGTCGGCACATACGCAGCCGCACTCAGTCGGTTGTGGCGCAGCGCGCGCACGTCGCGCTTATGGCGATACCTGCTGTTATCTAACAATGATACTCGTATCTTATCAATGAGAGCAACGCTGACGAGTGAATTCACGTTGCTGTGACGAACTAATAAATGTTACCCCTCAAACCCGCGCTGATTTCGCCATGAAGTGTAATCGGTGCACCCAAATTCAAGAATCATCGGTTTTGCCATAAACTGAGAATGTAAACAAATTATGTTAATGGTCAGATACATATTGTCACGCACTAAGGGCCGTATACACAAGAGAGGAACAGCGAGGCAGAAAGACACAAGCGTGCATCGTGAACGAACACGCATTTCGTCTTTGTCCTCATCGCCCTTTTAGGCTGGCCACGGCTTGCCGGCTCACAACACCAGGTAGCAATATTTCCCCTCCCATTAAAGCATCGACTCGGTGCTCATACACAAGAGGAAACCAGGGCCGGTAATAAAGAAAAACGATTGTTGTAGTGCGCAGGGCATATGCACGTGAAGAAAAAGTCTTCTGTGGTCGGACATGAGAAAAAAAATTGGCAGATTCCACGTACCTGGGAATCGGCGTTATACGAAGCATGCAGAGGGAAGGTGACGGTGTTTCGATTTTTTTTTTTTTGCTTGAGCGACACATCATGAAATGACGCTAAGTGCATGTAAAAATGTTCCGCGCACATACATATGTTGAAGAGTTGCAGATGCTTATATAACCAGTTTGCACTTGCGCAACGATGTCCACTGTAACATGCGCATTAGCAACACCAGAAGCTGATATGAAGTGCTGATGCTCGCGAAGATGTTGGCCCTGGACACTGGTATATAAACCAACTTCAGCGCATGGCACCTAACCACAACGAACGTTAACTTTACGTGATGGCTGTATCATACGAGTACATATGGAATGTTTATAAAATTGGGTAGGCAGCACTACAACCACTATTAACGTTTCGCAATATTGTAACGATGTTGAAGGACTCGGGGTGTAATAAAATGTATTTATTAAAGGGCAAACCTGTGCCCACAACTCAAAGGGACTATGGTCGTAGAACGTTACAGCAGAACACCAAGAATGTCTCCTTCTTCTACTTCTTCAAGAGGAGTCCCAAGCTAGTGGCGCACATCAGCCAGGGCCAGCTGGGTTCTTGTGCTATCATCATCGTCTCTGCGCAACACTAGACGGCGCGCATGTATGTCCCTGTGCGCGCGGTGATTGGCACGTTGTTTGAATGCAGGCAATATGTCGCGGCATAATCCCCCTCCTCATACGCATTGTCCCGATGCGTCAGGCAATGAATAGATTCGTGGTAGGCGTCACTGGTTTTCCGATGATCTTTCATAGTAAGGCTTCATCCGGACTACATGCACAAACTCTGTAGGGTTGCGGCGTTTTGAGCTCCCGTGTATAGCGGATTTGACTTGGTACGTTACATCGCTGACACGACGGAGTACTTCGTAAGGCCCGAAGTAGCGGCTAAGCAGTTTTTCAGAAAGTCCACGGCGACGCACTGGGGTCCATATACATACTTTGTCATCTGGTTGAAAGTGCGCTTCGGTACGACGCTCATTGTACCGATAGGAGTCGATACGCTGTTGGCGGCGTATTCTGTATCTCGCCATCTGTCGTGCTTCCTCGGCTCTTTGCAGGAAGTCGTCTAGGCCAGGTGGATTGCTCCTTTCATCATTCAGTGGTAACATGGCATCCAGTGAAGTGGTGACTGTTCGGCCGAATACAAGTTCAAATGGTGTCACTCGCGTTGTTTCTTGAACGACTGTATTATATGCAAACGTGATGTAGGAAAATATTTCATCCCACAGTTTATGTTCAACGTCGACATACATTGAAAGCATATCAGTCAGAGTTCAGGCGCTCCGTTAGGCCATTTTTTTTAGGATAGTATGCTGTAGTTCTTCTCTGGTCTGTATGGGTCATTCGCATCAGACATTTCATTAGGTCTGCAGTAAAAGCTGGGCCACGATCTGTAATTACGGCGCTGGGTGCACCATGTTTGAGGACTATGTTGTTAATGAAGAACTTGGAAACTTCAAGAGCTGTTGCACT